CGGTGATCGTAAGCACTCTTTTGGTTAAGCTGCGAGGCACATAAAGGATCCCGGGCGACTTGGCGGGCGATGTCAGCTCGGGCCAGGGCATCACGAGCATAAGCAGTCGATGAGGCGGCGTCAGATTGGAGCATTGTGTCCATGGGCAAAGGCGGGTCATAACCGAACAGTAGGTAAAAAGGGGAAAATCCAGCTGTATCATGACGTGAACTGTTGTATGCGAAGGTAACGAAAGGTAAGTGGATGTCCCAATCTTTGTGATCCTTGGAAACGTACATCGCTAACATATTCGTCAAGGTACGGTTGAGGCGTTCCGTGAGGCCGTTGGATTGCGGATGGTACGCTGTAGTGAACTTGTGGTGGGTAGAGCAGGATCGCAGGAGCTCGTCGACTACTTTAGATAGAAAACAGCTGCCGCGGTCGGTGATCAACTGGCGAGGAGCACCAAGACGCAGAATGATGTCATGAAGAAGGAAATCGGCTACATCACTAGCGCAGCTGGTGGGGAGGGCGCGTGTAACGGCATACCGCGTTGCGTAGTCGGTAGCAATAGCAATCCACTTATTACCGGTGGCCGACACGGGAAAGGGTCCTAGAAGATCGAGGCCGACTCGGAAAAATGGCTCATCTGGTACTTCAATGGGCTGGAGGGTACCAGCAGGTCTCAGAGCAGGTGTCTTGCGGCGCTGGCAGAGGTCGCATGCCGCAACGTACTGTCACACAGAACGGTAGAGGCCAGGCCAAAAGAATCGGCGGCGAATGCGGTCATACGTGCGTGACACCCCTAGGTGTCCAGCGGAGGGGGCATCATGCAGCTGGGCCAAAACGTCTGAGCGAAGATGCACAGGAACAACGAGTAAAAGCTCAGCACCATCAGGGCGGGTGTTGTAGCGGTGCAAGATGTCGTTGTGAAGAACGAACAGTTGTAAGGAGTGGTCAGGGTGGGGAGAGTGCAGACCATTGATAATAGCACGCAAAGAGGGGTCGCGGCGTTGTTCAGCAGCTGTGTCGGTGAAGTCGGTAATTGAAAGAACGAGGGCCTCTTGCTCATCTTCCGTCGTGTCAGGGGGATCGACTGGGTAACGGGACAAGCAGTCGGCATCCTTGTGAAGTTGTCCGGATTTATAGGATACGGAAAAAGTGTACTCTTGTAAGCGCAGCGCCCAGCGACCAAGGCGTCCCGTAGGGTCCTTGAGTGAGGAGAGCCAGCAAAGCGCATGGTGGTCCGTAATAACTGAGAATGGTCGGCCATACAGGTACGGTCGGAATTTCGCAATGGCCCAGACGAGAGCTAAGCACTCGCGTTCTGTGATGGAATAATTTTGTTCCGAGCGCGACAACAAACGGCTTGCATACGCGACGACGCGGTGCATTCCTTGTTGCCGCTGCGCGAGCACTGCGCCTATGCCGTGGCCACTGGCGTCAGTACGAAGCTCCGTAGCAGCAGATGGGTCGAAGTGTGCTAGGACTGGTGGATTGGTGAGAATGTCGACGAGCGACGAGAAGGCGTTTGCTTGCTGTTGGCCCCAGGTGAATGCGACATCCGTTTTGAGGAGGCAGGTTAGAGGACGGGCTACTTCAGCGAACTTCTCGACAAAACGACGGAAATAGGAGCACAGTCCCAGAAAACTTCGGACGTCCTTGACTGAGCGGGGTGTGGGGAAGTCGCGAACTGCTCGGACTTTCGCAGGGTCTGGTTGAACGCCCGCAGCGTTAACAAGATGGCCGAGTACGCAAATTTGGCGTTGCCCAAAGCGGCATTTGGACGAGTTAAGTTGCAAGTTGGCACGTCGAAAAACATCAAGCACTGCGGACAGACGGGTAAGATGGTCGTCAAAAGTAGTCGAAAAAACAATAACGTCGTCAAGATAGCAGAGGCAGATGGTCCACTTCATGCCTCGAAGGAGAGAGTCCATCATGCGCTCAAATGTCGCGGGGGCATTGCATAATCCAAAAGGCATCATCTTGAACTGATAAAGACCATCAGGAGTCACGAAGGCCGTCTTCTCTCTGTCTTTGTCGTCCACAGCGATCTGCCAGTAGCCTGTGCGAAGGTCTATTGAAGAGAAATATTTGGCACCGTGCAAGCAATCGAGTGCATCATCTATGCGCGGTAGGGGATAGACATCTTTCTTGGTAATATGGTTGAGATGGCGGTAATCAACACAGAATCTCCAGCTATTGTCCTTCTTTTTAACAAGTACAACGGGTGAGGACCAGGGACTAGATGAGGGTTCGATTATGCCCTTATCAAGCATTTTATCGACTTCTCGCTGTATAATAGCACGCTCCGGGGCTGACACACGGTAGGGTCGTCGGCGAATGGGTCGAGCGTCACCGGTGTCGATGCGATGGGTTACTACAGATGTCTGGCTCAAATTACGGTCGCCGAAGTCAAAGATGTCCTGATAAGGAGCAAGCACACGGCAGAAAGCAGAGACTTGTTCAGAGGTGAGCTTGTCAGATAGCATTGGCTTGAAAAGGTCGGAACAGGAACGTGACGAGAACGACGTTGATGAAAAATCGGGTGGCGAATTGGTGGTTAGAGCGGAAACTGTGTGGTCGACCAGTGGTGTAAGATGCGCAAGTGACATGCCGCGAGGAATAACTTGCGCTGAGAGGCCGAAATTGAGGACGGGAAACGAAGTTCGGTTGTCCTTAACGGTAACCACCGTGTTGGGGAGTGCAACATTGCGTGTCATGGCGACGTCAGAAATCGGGGCAGCAACATAATCACCATCGGGTACTGCAGGATATGGCGAGAGTTGGACTTGGACTGCGGCTTGCGGCGGAAGTCTAAGGAAATCGACAGAGCGTAGACGAGGTGGGCTGGTAGAGACGGTCTCCGAAAAGGATGGTAGTTCGAGCTGAAGAAGACCTTTGGAACAGTCAATGAGCGCAGCGTGTGAAGTCAAAAAGTCGAGTCCAAGGATTAGGTCATGAGGGCAATTTTCCAGTACAGCGAACAGAACTGAAGTTTGATGCTTAGAAATTGTTAATCGCGCAGTGCACATTCCAAGCACAGCAGGAGTACTCCCATCCGCGGTACGAACGGTAGGTGCAATCGCAGGCGTCAAAACTTTTTTGAGGCGGCGGCGGAGGTCTGAGCTCATCACAGATATTCGTGCACCGGTATCAATAAGAGCCGTTATAGGTAAATCATCAACGAGAATTGTAAGGAGGTTGCACCGCTGGTCGGGAGTAATCAGAGGATTTGCAGTCCAAGTCGTGTATGCAGCGTCACCTCCGGGGGCTGCACCGGCTAGTTTTCCGAGCGATGGTCGTAAGGAGACCGAGGACGGCGGGGTTGGGGCGAGCGGGACTGACGACGCACGGGTGATGGTGAGCGGCTGGTCCGACGTTCTGGATTATACTCTGCACCTGTCTCAGCACGGTAGGACGGGGCATAAGGTGCACGTTCAGAGCGAGGCCGCCAATCGTAGAAGCTCGGTCGAGGTGATGAGGTCCACCGGCTGCGGCTATGGCGAGCGATGTGTCCTATCCGATGGCACGTAAAACATATGGGCCGATCATCATGAGTGCGCCATTCAGCTGGGTTTCGTCGTGGCGCGAACGTGCGGTTCGGAGTGGCAGCCGCAACGACTGGAGCCGAGCTGGAAGTAGCAGAGGCATTTTGATGAGGTGGCGAAATGCCCATATTCGCGATCTCTTGGCGAACCACGGCCTGTATCATTGAAACAGCACCGAGGTTGTGTCCTGGCGCGCTGACGCTAGACATAGCAGGAGCCATGGCCTCGAGTTCCCGACGGACTATTCTGGTGACGTTTTCTGGCACTGGTGGTTGGTGTAGTGTGGGCAAATCTTCGCAAGAGGACGTAGCCGCCGTGTTGGGAAGGCGGTCAAATCGGTGAACTATGCGCCTACTTTTTGCCTGTTCGAAGCGACGACATGCTTCGATGACCGACTCCACCGTCGAGCAGTCCTTGCACAGGAGAAAATTGAAGGCGTCATCCGCAATTCCTTTCAGGATGTGTCCGACTTTGTCCTCGTCGAGCATGTCCTTGTCGACCTTGCGGCACAAAGCCAACACGTCCTGGATGTACGCGATGTACGGCTCCGTGGATGTCTGGGCACGAGTCGCAAGCTCTTTCTTTGCGGCCACTTGACGTCCGATGGGTTTCCCAAATAGATAGCGCAATTTCTGCTTACAGACGTCCCAGCTAGTCAACTCTTCTTGATGTGTCTCGTACCAGAGTTTTGCCGTGCCATGCAAGTAGAAGATGATGTTCGCCAACATAAGCGTTGGACCCCAATGGTTGCTGCTGCTGACGCGCTCATATTGAACCAGCCAGTCATCGACGTCTATGCCACTTGTGCCGTTGAATGGACCTGGGTCACGAGGTTGCACCACAACGATCGGCTGCGGGGCTGACGGATCTTGTTGACATTGAGTAGCCTGGTCAGTCATCGTGGTAGCTGCGATGCGCCGTCCGCTGCGAAGATCCAGCTCGTTGGGCTGTATAGCGAGTGGTACCCCGCACCTTCCACCAATGATGTTACGGGGAATAAAGTATACACTGATGAACAAATGTGTACTGGCGAATATACTGGCGAACTAATGCGTACGACGCTGCTGCAGTCCAAGCACGTTCCCGTTCAGCACTTCGTCGTCATCATCCTCAGGCATCTACTTAGCCCGTGACAGTATAAGATAGCTGATCAGAAGGTAATTATAACTATACCCGTATATATGGCGGTGCTCTTCTCGATAAACACAGCGCTTCGAAGTAAAAAAGGTAGACACGGGAATGTGCAGCAGAACATGGATGCGCACTCAACGTAGATGGCATGTGTGACCCTTTGGACTAAAATAGACGTGCCAGCAAGTCAACAGTTGAATGCATGTCAGGATCTTTTGCCTAGCAGATAATTCTAAAACCTACACGCATTTCCAGGTGTATGTTTTTCTTTCACGAGCTCCCAATGCTTGAAAAAATCTTCTATCAGTTTTAGTATTTCAGAGTGCCTTGGAGAGAATGTGCTTGGTGCATAAAATCATTTATTACTGTCATCATATATACATGACCAGAAAACTGTCGTGCCACATATTGTTTCAGAGGAGCAACACTTTTTTTAAGCAAGTATGCATGTGGTGCAAACAGTGTCAACACTTAGGACAACACGTGCACATATAAAGCCGAGGCTGTCCGCTGTTGAACATGATAGACGGAAGGCCACGTTTTGAAACGCGCGCTGTCATTTCACGAAGCCCTGCCACCCTCCCAAACTGAGGCATTGTGTTCCCTGCTCGTTTCAACTGCCGCAGTGACACGAACAATTCATGCAACCTTGGCTGCTAGAACGTCCCAGCCACCTTAATTGCCCAACGCTGGGCTATGACTCTCATCTCTAGGATCTTGAAACAAAACGTCGACAATGTCTACATTAGCGTTGAACATAAATCTTCTGTTCATATTTATTGACGCTCACTCATCCGTTACAGCTCAGATCTCCGTGTTCTTGCTAACACAAAATGTTCACAAAAAGAAAACTAAATTAAATATTGGCAAAAATAAAAAAGACAGAAGAATGTCAATGGTGCAATCGTTTGAAATTCAATGACTCTATATACACCCGCGTTCTACACCGATACATGGGCAATCCACGAAGTGATGCATGAAGCCCTACGAACGCGAACTATAAGCGTTTACAGTCAGCGTTATAAAACCCTTGTGGCTATTCTATAGCACCTTGCCTTCTCGTGACTTGCGATTCTTTCAGATCTTGCTCTTGCTGAGGCTGTGAACAGATGCTACAGCGTGCTAACGACTGATTTAATCCTTCGAACATTAATTCTTAGCTGCCGCTTGCTTCGTGCAGGCGGCTACATTCACCCAAGTTAGTGGCAATTTTTACTTCTTCGTGTACACATGTGCAAAAGCCACTGCGACACTGTAACTCTTTTTTCCTGTATTGTGTTCTTGCACAAGTTACCAAATGGCATCGTAGATTACCTTCCAAATTTTAGACACTTAGGGCAGGCAACTTGCACACTTCCGAGCTATGTTGGTTTCGTTCATGTACAGAAAGAGAACCCCACCGTTCGGAGATGTGCTTTAGGTTCCGTGTCACAAGAAAGAACCATATTGACGATCGTGCCCCCAGATGCCCGTTCATATCACCACACCACGAGAAAATAGAAGAGCACGTCGGAATGTTGAGAAAACCTGCACTGGTTCCCGTCAGCTCTCGATCCTTCGTTCAGTCGTCCGAGCACGCACCACAGCTCACTCCACTCGCCCGCACATGTGCGCTTTCTTATGCGGAAGGCACTGTGGCATAACCGCGAGTCACACGACGGTGCCCGTAAGCACGAGCCAAGCGGTCTACAGTACACATTTGTCCTGTCTTGACTTTCGCGTATCTGCTGGTCCGCACAGAGCGAAGCGTGATGTGTGGATGAAATGTCTCGATGCAATGCGAATATTCCTCCCTGTGATGAGAGGTAGAACTTGACTTGGCAGCCTAGTTCGATCAGTGCCCTCTGCTTAGCGATGTACTGCTTTGTTTTTGGCACTCGAAAGCAGCCGGCGCGTTGACTTGTTCTCTGTGCACACTGGCGAATAGATCGTCTGCTGTTATCTTCTCAACCTGCGAAAAAAGAAGTACAATTTCCCTTAATGACAGGGCTTATATTGCAATTGTTTTTGTGTCATACGACTGTAGGAAAAAAACTTTTGAAAAGTATTCGCACAAGCATCCCAATCACTCTATTTTTTTTCGATCACTGCACTTCGCAATACGAGGTATGCAGCTTCCTGGTGAAGGATCTCTGCATCTCAGCGACCGTTTTAGATTTTCTCATTCATGTGATGCTGTCTTCTTAATTTAATGATAACTCCTGGTGTTGTCAAGCCTATAGTCTCGATGCGTAAGTTTTATTTTATTCTGTGTCACGTTATTATAGTAAACGATATCTATAAAAGTTTGCATCATCGAAAGTAGTGATGAACTCGAATTCGCTGCAAGTTCATTCACTATTCTGCCAAAGAAGAACTTCCTGGACCACGCCGCTCACCTGCTGTCGTCCAGATCGCTAATCCTCGTGCCGACCAAGTTAGGGGGCGCCGCACACGTGCCGCTGACTTTGTGACGAGCGTTGCTCTGCAGCATCCACGAGATGGTTCCGTTGCAGTCGATTGGATTATCTGCAGGCAAAAAATAAACAATTGGTACGTTCATCAACTGCTGCATTTTGTACAAACAGAAAAGTCAAGTTATCTGCCTAGCCAGCTGTACACTATTTCTTCAAAAATGTGTACAGCCAGCTAAGAAATCAAAATTATACCAGACAAATATAGAAGATGCTCCTATGACAGATGCAAAACAGGGAGCCGATAGTATAAACGAGTTTTTAGATGCAGTCTTTAATAGAGATGCACCAAGTTACGTCGCAGACGAGATAAACTATTCCTGCGCTTGCCCTGTGGAGCCTCTTTCACTTTATCTGAAGAGCGTGTTTGTACAGCTGTTGAACTTAGATCCGAAGAAAGCCTGGGGCCCTGATGGAATACCAAGGGTATTTTCAAAGAGATACGCCGAGTGCGTGTCTTTTAATTACTCCATTGCGATAGAATTTACATGGACAGTCTCGACTGGTGGGCCATCGCTACCACCGCCGTCATTCATGTATATGTGTATGTATATGTAAATGGGTAATTCTTGAAATTCCGATAGTCACCTTATCATGGTGGTGTAGTGGCTAAGGTACTCGGCCGCTGACCCACGGGTCACGAGATCAAATCCCAACTGTGGCGGCTGCATTTACGATGGAGGCGAAAATGCTGTAGGCCCGTGTGCTCTGATTTGGGTGCACGTTGAAGAACCCCAGGTGGTCAAAAGTTCCGGAGCCCTTCACTACGGCGTCTCTCATAACCAAATGGTGGTTTTGGGACGTTAAACCCCACATATCATCAATTGTTTACGATTTGTACTGTGAAAGTGAACGTCTAAATTTACAGCTTTTCGAAAATATTGTGACAGCAACAATGACAACGTTCTAAGATATCAGCGCTTCCGTGGTCCCCCAGGTGGTCAAAATTTCCGGAGCCCTAACCACCATAATCATATGGTGGTTTTGGGACGTTAAACCCCACAAATCAATCAATCTTCCGTGGTTATAGCTTTTCCAGCCCAGTTTTCCTCTAAAGTCAGTATATTAACTCCATGATCAGGATTCAAAGGTAAGCTTGCGAAGTGACCACCACGCCGCACAGTGGCTTTGGAGGCAAGCTTTGGGGAAGCTCGGAATAAGCGCGGCAGGGGGCGCGGCTGATTAAGTCTTTCTCACCAACAGCCGACATCGGTAGGGCGGCACGAGTGTGCAGGTGCTTTTATGTCGGTGCGGTAAGTCCTAATTGAACGTGTAGGGTTGATCTATTGTTTTGTATATGTGTTGTGCTGAAATTCATCCGGTTCTATTAATTCCTGCTATCACCAGGCGGCGAGTGATGCATACACGTCATTCATTTCGTACGAAGTTTTTTTGGCTTTCGCCTCTTCACGGAACAAGAAGTAATTTTGTCCTTAACCTTATTTTACGTTATTAGGCGAGCCGTAGATCTATTTACTAGATCGTATATCTCAGTAGTGATTAGTAAATACTAATACGTATATCCTCAGTCCAGATACCGAATGAGTACCACTGTGCAATATTAGGTCTATTTACAAAATATTTTATTGGTAAAAAATGTCAATAAAATACAGTACAGCCTTAAAGGCATTGCCTGCCGCCTATTCTTTGTTGCAAATGTTTCGTGTTTACTCTTCATGCACTTAAACCGCCCGCCACGTATACACTTGAGGTTAAACTCACATAGAAGTAGCTGATTAGTTCCTAAAGCAGGAGCGCGGAACTCGTCAGTGGACAGGAAATGCCAAATCATCAGTGCGGGCACATTGAAGCTAACAATGTCAAAATTGCCAGAGACAGGAAGAAGTTAGCAGGGAAAAGGTTGGCAGATCCCACGTACAGTAGGAATCCATGATATGCGAAGCACGAATGATAAAGGTTGATATCTCACTTCAAAATTAAGACAACATTACGAGGCCCACAGATGCATTACACAGGAGACACAACTCTAAATATTATTCGCACTCAGGTATCTACATAATGTGCAAATATAATTATAGTCTCGTGACAACGATACCACCAATGTTTGAAATACCAGCCGCAGCAGTGGTAAGCATATATATTGTGCCGTACATAACTTTCATGTCACGATTATCATTCCATTCACGCCACATAATACCAAATTTTGTATATGTGAAGCTAGCGAAACAGCCATAAGCGAGCTATGTACGTAGCACGTTGTCATGTTTTACAAGACACATATGTCATGACTATCATGGTTCCACCATTCATATACCTTCACAGTCTATTGACATCATATAATACTTAACCTAATTGATTGATTGATATGTGGTGTTTAACGTCCTAAAACCATCATATGATAACGAGAGACGCCGTAGTGGAGGGCTCCGGAAATTTCGACCACCTGGGTTTCTTTACTGTGCACCTAAATTTAAGTACACGAGCCTACAGCATTTTTGCCTCCACCGGAATGGCAGCCACCGCTGCCGGGATACGATCGCGCGACCTGCGGGTCAGCAGCCGAGTACCTTAGCCACTAGACCACCGTGGCGGGGCTGTAATTACCAAACTTGGTATATGGGAAGTTAGCGAAACGGCCACGAGTGCTTCATTAGCGTGGCATGAAGTCATGTTTTACAAGACACGCATGCCATATTTAGCATGTTTGAAGGTGTAATTTACCTTCACCGTCTATTCACATCACGTTATACTAAACTTGGTATATGATAAGCTAGCGGAACGGCCGGGAGCGCGCTATGAGCGTAGCAAGTAGTCATGTTTTACAGGACCCAGGTACCATGATTATCAAGTCTTGACGTGTCATTTGCCTTCGTCATCCATTCACGTCTCAAATTACTGAATTTGGTATAAAAGAAGGTAGCGGGATAGCCGTGAGTGCATCATGAACGTGGTATGCAGTCATGTTCTTACATGATACGCATGCCATATATATCACACTTGCACCCGACATTTGCCTTCCCCTTGCATGCGTGTCACGTAATACGAAGGAAGGTATATGGAAAGCTAGCGATACTGCCGCTACCGCATCATGAGCGGGACATGTAGCCACGTTTCACGAGACGCGCATGTCATGATTACCTTGTTTGGACGTGTCATTTACCTTCGTCGTCCGTTCGCCTCATGTTCGCCTCACAGACAGACAGACAGACAGACAGACAGACAGACAGACAGACAGACAGACAGACAGACAGACAGACAGACAGACAGACAGACAGACAGACAGATAGATAGATAGATAGATAGATAGATAGACAGATAGATATATAGATAGATAGATAGATAGATAGATAGATAGATAGATAGATAGATAGATAGATAGATAGATAGATAGATAGATAGATAGATAGATAGATAGATAGATAGATAGATAGATAGATAGATTTAAAGTCGCTGATGTTCACTAAAAAGCTAAGACATGCTTCGCATTTAATGAACGCGTGAGAAGGAATGTCATTCTTCCTCCAGCCACGATAGCGAATGGATGCAGGATTAAGTGCTCTGACGGAGCGAAAATAGCTGAGCCCGTGCTGGCCGCGGAAACAGGATGGCTGCCGATGTCGACAATAATTACGAGATTGTGCTGCCTACTCTACCGATAGGCCGTGTTGTTCTCAACACGCAGTTTTTTGCACGGAGATCTGCATGAGCAGCCGTACAAAGGCGAGAACTTCAGAGACACCCTCGCGGCGGCTGCTTTGCGGCCCGACGTCGTCACGGTATGTGCGTACCAGACTAACCAGGTCTCGACCGTGACACTCACACACGGCGTCGTCGTAAGGTGGCTACCACTACCCCGCCGTCGGACAATCCGGCCTCCGTGCCCCTCCCTGCCTCTGAGGATTCCGAGCGGGACATGGAGGACCAAATATAAAACCTAAGACAGTCACGATGGCTACCAATCGTACGTCCCGTTCAAACATTGCGTCTAAATTCGAGATCATACAGTGGAACCCTGAAGGCTTTGAACAGGCGAAAGCGTTCACATCTTTCCCTTTTCCTCAACTCACTTGGCTCTCAGCCGGCCGTCTTGGCGCTCCAAGAATCTGGCCCTGCTCCATCCCTTTCTGGATACTGCTCCTGTGTAGGCGGCACCACCACATGCCTCCTCGTGCATAAAGCTTACACGGCGGTACAGATTGACCTCGATCTGGATCTTCCTTACGACTACTGCATGATATCAGGGCTGTCTCAGCGGAGGGGCCAACCATCAATACATATCTTAAACGTGTACTGTCCCCCTCGCCTTGCGAGGGCTTCGTTTGCGCATCTCTTCCATCGGGCGCTGCGTATAGCGGCCCGACAACCACTGGTGATTGTCGGGGACTTTAATGCCCCCAGCCCTCACTGGGGTTACCACTACGAGGAGGCCTGGGGCAGAGAGCTCAAGGAGCTCATTTCCTCGCTGAGCCTGACGCTTCTTACCGATCCGGCACAACCCACACGTTCCGGCAACTCGGTCACGCGAAACACACGCCCCGACCTCTCCCTCACCCGTCACATCCGCGATGCTACACGGGAAAATTTAGGTGAAACCCTAGGCAGCGATCACTTTTTACTCCGCATTTCGTTCACACCGCGGCAGAAAATGCGCCAACACTGGGGCCAAGCCCGTCTCACCGATTGGACTCAGTTCAGAATGCAACCATTCCCCGCCGGCCTCTCCTCGACCGAATATGCAGCGTGGGCATCATACTGTCACGGGGTCGTGACGAGGCCAAAGACAGAAAACTTAGTGTTGGGATTTAACTGTTTATTTGGGCGAACCTGTGCCCGGTAAAGGGAAAGTCTAATTACAGCAGCAGTCTTGCACAGATAGCAGTCTCGGACTGATAGCGGCGAACGCAGCGTCGGCCTTCGATCAACAACTGACAAGCGGCGAAGCGCGTCGGCATTTATACCCTTGCCGTCGAATGTTCTAGCGTTATCGCTGGCGGTGGCGTGGGTTCCAGAACAATCTGTACCGTTCGCACAGTGGGCGTGATCTTATCGAAATAATCTACTACAGTCCGGAACCCTCTAGAAACCTGCAGGCGC